CAGTATGAGCCAATCAGTGGCAGTAATGACAGAGCATGTGCTGTTACACAAAAACCGCGATAGAGTGAAGCCGCGGAAGTCGAAGCGCGAAGTGGCGAGGGTTCACTGTATATTATGTGTAATAAAGTGAATGTGTATTGGGTGCGAATATATTGTGTATACTGGGGGTGAGTGTGTATTGGGGTGTGTGTATATCAAGGTGGTATATATTTTGTGTCCTGAGGTGTGTGTGTTGTGGTGAATGTATATTGTGTCCTGGGATGAGTGTATATACTGGAGTGCATGTATATTGTGTGTACTGAGTGAGTATATATTGTGTGTGCTTGGGGCCACGTGTATTGAGGTAAATGCATATTGTGTGCAGTGGGGTGAACATACATTGGGGTGAAGATATATTGTGTGTATTGGATTGTGTATTTTGTGTACAGGGGTATGTATGTTGAGGTAAATGTGTATTGTGTATACTGAGGTGAGCACATGTTGTGCGTACTGGGTGAGTATATTGTGTATGCTGGCGATAAGTGTGTACTGGGATATGTGTATATCGAGGTGGTATATATTTTGTGTATAGGGATGTTTATGTTTGTGGTAAATGCATACTTGTCCTGGGATGAGTACTATGTATTGGGGTAGGTACATGTAATTGGGGGTGTTATATTGTATTATTGGGTGTGTGGATATTTGGGTGAGTGTATATTCTGTGGACTAGGTGAGTGTGTTTTGGGGTGAATGTTATATTGTGTGTACTGCGGTATGTGCATATTGGGGTGAGCATATATTGGGGTGAATGTTATATTGTGTGTACTGCGGTATGTGCATATTGGGGTGAGCATATATTGGGGTGAATGTTATATTGTGTGTACTGCGGTATGTGCATATTGGGTGAGTATATATTGGGGTGAATGTTATGCGTACTGGGATGAGTGCATACTGGGCCAGATATATATATTATATGTCCTGAGGTGAGTGTATGTTGTGTGTTCTGGGGTGAGTATATATTGGGCTGGTGGTGTACTGTGTGTCAGGGGATGGGTTATATTAGGGTTCATATATGTTGGGGGGGTGTATATTGTGGTGAGTATACATTGTGTACCTTGCTGTGAGTGTATATTGGGATGCATGTATATTGAGGGTGAATGTATGTTGGGGTGCTGGGGGTGGCGAGTGTATATTGGGGTGCCATGTATGTTGGTGTGTGTGTATATTGTGGTGAGTATACCTTGTGTGTCCTGTTAAGAGTGTATATTGGGGTACATGTATGTTGGGGTGCTGAGGGAGTATATTAGGGTGCATGTGCAAGGGGAGGGGAGAACCCCCAAAATGGAAAAAAGCTCCACCCATGTAAGGGGTGAGAGTGCATTTGGAGTTGGTTCCCCTAGGTCAGATGTTCATCCAGCTTTCTAGTTACAGGTTCTTTAAAGATTGCGTATCAGTGGGGGACAAAAAGGGTCTGATTTGTGGCTGACAGGGGACCGATGACAATGCACCTGCTCACGCAGCCATCTCAGTGCCCCAGTATTTGGCAAAAAAAGCATGCCTCTCTTGCCCCACACACCTGACCTCTCTCCGTGTGACTTCGTTTCTGTGAATGAAGAGGGACATGCAAGGACAGCAATTTGATGACGTAGAAGAGGTGAAGAAAAAAACCAGGGAGGTGCTCTCAGCCATCCAAACAGATGAGTTTGAAAACTGTTTCCAAGAATGGAATCGCAGATTTGAAAAATGTATTAAGTGTAATGGAGAGTACTTTGAAGGTGATAAGGTTGTTTTGCAAAAAAAAATTTAAATATATAGCTTTAAAAAAATTCCGTTTTGGGGGGTACCCCCTTGTGTGTTAGGCTACTAGGGTATGTGTATACTTTGTGTCCTGGCGTTAGTGTATGTTGGGGTGGACGTGTGTCTGGGTGTGTGGGCTCAGTATGTGTCCAGGGGCACTGCCCCCTTCCCACCCGCGCCCCCCCTTCCGTTGCTGACAGCTACTCCAAGGACTACGACCCTGAGGACTGGCTGTGGGTGGACAGCGCCACAGGCCGCATTCAGACACAGCGGGTGCTCAGCCCCGCCTCCCCGTTCCTGAAGGATGGTTGGTACCGCGCCATCATCCTGGCCACCGACGACGGTGAGTCTGTGGCTGCTAGTGGGTGTGGGCCGGGGTCCAGGGGCGCCCCCAGCTGACCCCGCACTGCCCCCCAGCCTCGCCACCGCGCACGGCCACAGGCACGCTGTCCGTGGAGATCGTGGAGGTGAACGACCACGCGCCCGTGCTGGCCCCGCCAGTCGGCAGCCTGTGCAGCGAGCCGACGCGGGGCTTTGGCCTCCTCCTGGGAGCCACGGATGAGGACCTGCCCCCGCACGGCGCCCCCTTCCACTTCCAGCTGAGCCCCAGCAGCCCGGCGCTGGCCCAGAACTGGAGCCTCAGCCAGGTTAACGGTGAGACCCAGAGCCCCTGGGCACCTGGGGCGGGCGGAGGGGCCTGTAGGCCTGGCTGACAGGGGTTCCCCCTCAGTGAGCCACGCGCGCCTGCGGCTCTCCGAGGGCCTGCACAGCGTCAGCCTGCTGCTCCGTGACTCGGGCCAGCCGCCGCAGCAGCGCGAGCAGAGTCTGAACGTGACCGTGTGCCACTGTACCTCCGCTGGCACCTGCCTGCCCGGGGCCGCCGCCCTGCGCGCGGGAGCCGTGGGCGTCAGCCTGAGCGCGCTGCTGGTGGTTCTGGGCAGCGCCACCCTGCTGCTGGGTGAGTGGGGCCACCGCGTCCCGCCTCCCCACGCCCCAAACTCACTGTCCCCAATCCAACCTCCTGCGTCCTGCACTCCCGACGTCGCGCCCCGCTCTCCGCGCCCCTCTTGGCCCTGCCTCTAGCCCTCTGAACCCCGGGGCAACTCCGCCCCGCTCCCCGGACAGTCTGGCCCCAACCTGTTCGATGTCTCCCTGCCCTCCCGCCCCAGTGCTGCTGCTACTGGGGACCTTCCTAGCGCGCTGCCCGCGGCGCTCTCGGGACACGGGGCTGCTGCATGGACTGCAGGACGGCCTCCGCGACAATATCCTCAATTACGACGAGCAGGGCGGCGGGGAGGAGGACCAGGTAGGACTGGAGGCCTGGGGAGGGCCGGGAGTGAGCGGGCGTGGGAAGCGCACCCCACCTGCCTCGCTGGAATGGGAGGCAGTAACCCTGGAAACTTCCAGAAGCTTTGGAACAACTCTTCGGCCAGCACCCAGCCAGGGTCCCCTTCAGGGGTGTGTGGGTGGGGACGCCCTCCGTGGTCCTGGGCCCCAGGCTCAAACCTACTTCCTGGTCCGCTCAGGACGCCTACGACCTCAGCCAGCTGCGCCACCCCACGGAACTGGTGGCCCTGGGGGAGACTCTGGGCCGGCCACCGCTGCGCCGCGACACTCAGTCGGGCCTCCTGCCTGGCCTGGCACCCCACCTTCTGCCTGCCAGTCCCGCAGACATCGCGAGTTTCATCCGCGTCGTAAGTGGCAAGTTGGGGGTGGGGGGCGGGGCGCGGCCCCATCGTCCTCTGCGGCCTGGCGCGGTGGGCACACGCACGGGCACGGCGGGCAGGGGCTGCGTGTCCTTGGAGAGCATTACTTTCACCTGCCGTGTTGTGGTGGGCGTGGGGCTGGCACTGGCTGGGCGCCTGCTCGGCCCGGAAGAGTGTGGCCGCATCCTGGACCCCTGAAAGCCGCGCCCATGGACAGGCATGGCTTCCCCGTGACCACACAGCGCAGGGCGCCAGGGGCATGAACCTTCAGACACTGTTAATTTGACGGGATTGTTGAGGGTGCTGTGAGCCCAGCCTCAGTGGAGTGTGCTGTGGGGGGTAGGGAGTCCCTTCCATGGGGTGCAGGGCAGACCTGAGGGAGGCTCTTAAGTAGGCCGGGCAGGGGGCCATTGCAGCGTGTTTGGGCCCAGTGGTCAGCAAGGCAGTCACCACAGTGTCCTGAGCAGAGCCTCCCAGCAGTGACGCCGCCACCCACCCCAGGGTCACCTCAGTGCTCAGCTTTCAGCGGCCCTTGCCAGGGTGGTGGCCCAGTAGTTACAGCTCAAGGAGATTGGGGGGCGCCATCTGCTGGGCCTGAGTGGCCAAACCTGAGGGTGTAAGGGGTGCCCCTTGTGTCTGTGGGCCCTGAGTCTCTGTGAACCCTCTGCAGGGTGTGGAGGCTGCCAACAGTGACGCTAGCGTGCCGCCCTACGACACTGCCCTGATCTACGACTACGAGGGGGACGGCTCTGTGGCGGGGACCCTGAGCTCCATCCTGTCCAGCCAGGGAGACCAGGACCAGGAGTACGACTACCTCCGTGACTGGGGACCCCGCTTTGCCCGGCTGGCAGACATGTACGGGCGCCCCTGAGGTGGCCAGAGGGCAGGTATTTTCTGCTGGACACAAAGGGACTCTCTGATGGGGCCACCCACCCTCGCCAGGTGGGCGGTGGCTGGAGGGCACTGATTCCTGGTCAGCAGATGCAAGGAAGCTGGCTAAGGGTAGAAGCCAGTGGGGACAGCCGTGCACAGTGGACCCCGTCTTTGTGTGAGTGAACCCCTGGCAGACTGGAATTAAAGGCACTCGTTTCTGCAGCGTGGACCGGGCATCTGAGGCCCCTGGCCTCTGGGGCAGGGCGGGGCCCTGGGAGCAGGCTGTGTCATGCTGTCCCTAGTAGGGGCATGGCCCTGGGCGGGAGGAAGAAGCCAGGCCAGGCCACCATGTTCCATGGCCACCTTCATCCTCCACATCTGATGGGTGTGGCCGCAGTGGACCCCAGTGATGAAGTAGCAACAAAAATAATTTTATGGTTGGGGGGTCACCACAACATGAGGACCTGTATGAAAGGGTTGCAGCATTAGGGAGGTTGAGAACCACCGCTCTGGCCTGCTCCCCCCACTGGAACCAAGTACCAGGCACTCAGCTGTGCCCTGGCCCTCACTGCTGCAGCCTTCTTGGCTCAGGGCAAGTATAATCACTGTGGGGCTGGGGGCGGGGGTGTGTGGCCAGCCTAGTACAGACCCCAGGGCAGGGTTGCAGAGCTGCAGTGGGGTGGGGTTGCCATTGGTACCCTGCAGCATTGGGGCAGGCTGCGGCCTGGCTCTCGGACAGCACCAGGGGAGGTGAAGACCATGTGGTGCAGGAAGCAGCAGCCGCCAGTCCAGCGCAGTGCCCTTGAGGAGAGAGCTCTGTGGGAGGGTGGTATGTGGACACGGCTTGGGGTGCAGGGGCCGGGGACACTGCTCCAAGGAAGGTTCTGAGGTGGAGCTGGAGGCTTGAGGCACAAGAGAAACCTGCAAGATTGTTCTTTGGAGACTGGCTCTACCCTGCCCCTGAGTGGTTGTGTCCTTTCCGTGAGGACAGTAGAGAACACACCCCACTCCGCCTGCCCAGCCGCTCCAATGACGGTGCTGCTCAGTCTAGACGACGGCAGGGGCTTAGGTAGGGTGGGGTTGGGGGGCTGGGGGCTGGGCTGCCTCACTGCCAGTAGGGGCCCGGGAAGGTCAGCCTTGCCTTGGGAATCAGCAACCCAGAGGGACAGGGTGGTTCAGAGGGGCAGGTCTAGGGCAAGAAGAAAGCACCCAGCTGCCCACAGAGGCCCCCCAGTCAGTCTGCCTTAGGATGGCCTGGCTTGGGTGCTAAGGGCATTTTCCCTGGAACCCCCAGCTGTGACCAGGACCCCACAAGGCCCTCACCTGGAGGACCTGGGCCTAGCCAATGCTCTGCTGCCACTGCCCCGAGGTCTGCAGTGCTTCTGGGCTGGGGTGTGCCCCGTCCACCCCTCAGGCCTGCTTGCCTCCCACATGAACTAGACCCTAACCCGAGGCCCTGCTCCCTGCAACCTCGTGCTTCCTCAGGGTGCCTGTCCCCATGTCCCCTTAGGGACATCCCCCTTGTCAGCTTTGGTCTGCTGGGCCCTTTGGGACCTCCCCTGCCTGTCGGGCTGTCCTGGCCATGGGACGCAGGCTGCCCTTACTTGGGCCCCTCCCGGCACATCTGGCTCCCAGATAGGAATTTATTGGCAGCCATGTTTGGGCCTCAGTTTTCCTGCCAGTGTGAGCAGGAGGGGGATGAGGTGCAATGGACCGCATCTGGTGAGACCCTAGCGTCCCGTACTGTCCATCCAGAATCCCCATGGGTGGTGGCCGGCCCTCTATATCCATGCTGGTCCAGATAGTCGCACCCAACACAAAGAGCCTGCTAGCCCCAGACTCACAGTGGGTTCCAATGAGCAGCAGGGACTCCTGGCTGGTTGCCAGGGTGCCCAGCAACAGGCCCAGGTGGCGGCCCCAGCGATCTGAGGTCGGGAGTATGAGAATGCTGTGGCTGGTAGAAGCAAGA